GGGAGTACCTACTATAATGGAGAATCAAATGGAAAAGAAAATGGAAAATGAAATGGAAACTTGTGGAATATAGGGATTTAAGGAACTTAAATTAAGTTACTATATTGGGGAAACCCTTTTGGGTTTAGGGTTTAGGGTTTAGGGTATATTATCCCCCTATAATGGAGAATCAAATGGAAAAGAAAATGGAGAATGAAATGGAAACTCGGATTATGTAGGGGATTAGAGGGATTAGGGTTTCCCAAAATTAGGGGTACCATTTTGGGGGTCGCCATAATAAGGACTATAGTAACTATAGTTAGTATTTTGGGGTCTATATTGGGGTCCCCTAATTTTGGGAAACTACCATATGGGTGGTTGTCAAAAGTATGGTGCCTTTTTTGGATACCTACTATATTAGGTGCTGCATTATAATAGGGATCCAAAAAAGAGGGACCATAATTTTGACAACCACCCATCTACTCCATAGTCTAAACTCCTTAGAGGGGGTTATATAAGGGAATATATAGGGGACTATAGTAGGGGTAATTCAGGGGAATGCTAAGACTTTAGCACCATAGCTCATATGCTCTAGTATCATATTGTGAGGGTATATGAAGGGATAGGTATTGCCTACCCGATGCTAGAGGCATGTCCAGGCGCCATGTAGTCCTTTGCAAGGATCATCTGAAGCTAGTGCGCTAAACAAAGCTGATACTAGTAAGAGTAGCAACAGCACCATTGACAAGTGGCACACAAAGGGTTTGGGCAGCCATTTTTAAGCATGGAATGATGCACGGCAGGGCAATGCTCGCATACAATAGCTTAGGAGGACCCCCCACCCTGTAATATTAGTGTAATGGGGAAACATAGGACCCTAATATAATCCCTATTATCCCATGGAATCACTACTGCAGGGTGGGGGACCTAAACAATAGCAATGTGGGCGTTTATTGAGTAGCCGAGTCTTGGGCCGGGGTGGGCTCCTGTGTAGGGCTCATGAGACTTGGGGATTTAGGGCGTGCGCTTCGGAGCAATTTGGCTTTAGGGCTTATAAGGCTTTGTCAAAGATTTCCCGTGTCCTTGTCAAAAGAGCTATCTTGCTTTCCTGGGATAGAGCACAGTGACCAGCTTAACATAATTACCAACCGCACGAGGCATTATCGTGTTAGCAACACCTGGGCCTTCAGTTCTTGACCTGATTTGCCTGCTGCCTTCTGAGAACAGAGGAAACAAACCTTCTGAACATTGCTCCAGAGTAGATCATGGTTACATAGTACTTATGGGTGCAAACGCCAAGTCCTGAATGCTAAGCCTTAAGCCACTGGTCCTGGAGTGGGAGTTCGGTATTCATGCCTCATGAAGAGTTGCTATAGGGTTGTACTAGTGGATGCAACCCGCAAAAAGGGGAACTTGTGCCATGGTTTCCACATCCCGGGAGGGAGTTGTATTTGCAGGGCTTTCTGGTGTAGTGTTTGGATTGCTATAAGAGTAAATGTGGCATACTTGACCAGATGGTTGCAAGATTTGGTACAGATTCTATCTGAGCAGCATTAGCTACCACTCCTATGTTCACGTTCTACTACATGTAGTCGCAATGACATTGAAGCCACACTTCAAACCAAAGCGCTGGAGCTGTAATGCCTTCTGAAGAATACTTGCTCCTGTCTCCTCAGCCACAGTTCCTGACATAGTGACGCAGCAGAATTCTCCGACTGATTGGAAGCCTTGCTTAACACAAGTGGGACCAGGACACTTGAAAACAAGAGGGCTTCTGCCAAAGCCCAGAAGTTTCAACTAAGGAGACCAACCTCTTGAAGCAAACGCACTCGAGTGGAAGTCGAATCAACTGCTTCATTCTCTGAGCTCGTAACCAGCAGTCTTACTTATTTCACATCGCCAGGCAGACCCTGTGCCAACTGAGGATGTCAAGGCAAGCTTGGTGTGCAGGATTACCCCAATAGAACCCCTATATTACCCCCGATACTACCCCCTATATTACCCCAATATGGCCCCTATTTTGCCCCCCATGTTACCCCAATATAACCCCCTTTATTACCCCCTATATTACCCCTATAACCCCTACATTTGCTGTTGGGGATCCTGGGTTCTCGGCGGCTTGCATAGGAAGCCAAGCTCAGATGGTGTTTTCGTAGGGTTAGGGGAGCTTGAAAAGGCTTGAAACCGCTACTAAGATTCAAAAAATCAAGTTCCTGTCAGGGTTCCAGACATATAAAAGCAAGCTTTCGGGCGTCCTAAGTTTTTTTTATTGGTTGCAGTAGTATCAGTAGTGTGCGTAGCAAGCAAGTTGCTTCTGTGGCTTTATCAAACCGTGATTCTGGCTGGTTCAGACACCTATACTTTCTACACCAGGATGTACGGTGAAGCAGGGCGTCCTGCTTCATGCAGGGCCACTCCTCAGCTTATGCTGCGACAAGGCCCCTCATCTGCTGCCTTGTAGTATGAAAGACCCGCCCAAATACCTCCTTTGCCACTTTTCAGTTTGTAGAGCTGTGGTTCCCGAAGCTACTCGTGGTCCTACTCCGTACTAAAACGGCTTTGATGTGTGTGTCGCATCGCATGGAGCTCTGAATTCAATGCTACGAACTTAAAACACTGCAGAACACGCTGACCCTTAAGTCGGCGGCTGTTGAGGAACTTCATTTCAGCTATCGCAGCATGGGCAAAAGTACGTGACAAGGTTTCCTGATAACGGTACCTTCAGTCCAGTAGCAGCAACCCAGCCAGCTGACCCTGGAATTTCAAATCTCTGAAGCCTGAAATCCAGGTCAAGGAGGGCTGGCAAGTCGATTCTCGGCAGCCTTAGAATAAGGATTGCAGTATTTTGCGGTCTGCATTGGGGTCCCGCTATCTGCTATCTATAGAAATTGCGAGTTGGGTATTGGTGCTCTGTGCTGGGGGTCGCGACTTTGGGGCCTGTACCAACTTGATCAACTTGCGACTGCAGTCATATTCGAAACCATCTAACCTTGCGAGCACACTGAACTTAGAGTTGATCCTTGAGGTATAGACATATACATATAGGTGTACATGTTACACGTATATACACCTACACCCCATTTGGCCTCTTTGCACAGACTTTGGCCCCTGGTTTCTGTTTCATGCTGTTCGCGGCTGGACTTTTTCTTCTGACAGACCGGCCAAGGACATGGTGGTTCGCGTGACGAGCGCCGACGAGGTATACATCGAAGTCGTCAGGGAAGTGTGCTACGAGGGTTTTTGAGGGGTGAACCAACAACTTAGAAGCATCTCGGTTGAAGGTTATTGCTGTGTGGGGGTCCCGGGAATGGATACGATAGAGACCCTCAAAAGGGACCCTCAACTTTTGCAAACTCTTTCCATACCATAATAGTTTCCATTTAATTTTCAACTATCCCTATATAACTCGCATAATAGCTAGTTGTTTATGCTGCCGAAAAACATCAAGCCTGCCGAAAGCCAGGTCTGTGTCGCCAGAGCCCAGGCGGCGGAGGGTAAGCCCTACGCTTCTTTGAAGCAAGCTGAGCAGTCTTTAGCTACAGGGTTATAGTCCACCTTTAGCAGATAGACTGTGGTTTTGGGTACATTATAATAAGATCCCATATACCCCATATTTTATCTACTTAAGGGGGACTATAAACCGGGGAGGTAGGGAGGATGTAGGGCATACAGGTGTGGATGTGGAAATGGCGTGGGATGAAGGGAATTCAAGGTCTGGGGAGAATGCAAAAGAATATGGAATTTAGTATATTAATATAGGGTTCTGATTCCAGAGTGAGCTCTCAAAAGGATCCAGGATGATAGGATTGAAGAAGGGAGTGTGTTTTGTTTCTAGTCCTAGTTCTTAGTGAGCAAATTTTGCTTGGGAAGAAGCGCTGCTCGGTGGAGTCCTCCTGCAAGATGCAGCAGGGTTTTAAAGCTTTTGTTTGGCAGAAAGGGCGTGAGCTTCAGAATTGGGCAAATCCACTTTGGTAACATTCGGTGAATCTTGTTTTCGTCAGCTTCCAGGTCGAAAAAGAGTTCCAAGCTGCCCTCGACTTGTGGAAGAAGGCCATGCTGCTGGCGAATAAGTAATCCAGGTTGACGAATACATGGGGGAATCTGGGGGGAGTTTAATGTGCATGATCTTGTACGGGCTTTTATGGGGTTGCATTGGGAGTACTCGGAGTGAAGCTGCAGAATGCCCTTGTGGGTGCCTTGTGTTCATTTACTGAATCTAGTTCGACCTTATTTGGATGTCTTTTCAGCCGAATATCAGCTCTCCCCAGCTTGCTAGGCAAAGTTGCTATTCAGTAGTCGCACTCAACCTCTAGATTGTTATTCGAACAGCGAACTTAGTACCTTTAGTATTGATGGTCCCTGTAACAGCAATAGCCTTAGTATGTTAGTACCGAGAGTAGCAGCGCTAGTAGCAACATTCGTAGCATGGTAAAAGTACAGCCGTGATCCAGCTTTTGTTGCAGGTGGTTTGTATTGGATGGAGGGATGGGTCTCCACAGCAGCCCCTATGTAATCTCCAAGAATGCTTCCTCCATTCTTGTGTTCCCTACTCCCTTGCTTAACTTTAGGCCTGTACTAGTTTCCTTGTTTGTTGCATTTCTTCGCCTGTACTGACCACCAGCAAGTTTTATAAAGACAACACGCAGGATGCCGATGCCATAAACGAGTTCTTCTCTGAGCGACTGGGTGCCGGTCAACTCGAGCTATCCGCGGACGCTGCGGCCGAGGCCCCCTAGAAACAGGAACGACAGTCTGCATCCATGTTTGTTTTGCTGCAGTTAACATGCTGAGCAATATTTCGATTTTGGTTCCTGAATTGGAGTGGGATTCAGAAATTAGACTGTTTAAAGCCTTTGAGGTTGGGCTCTTGGGTTTCAGAATTTCTTTTCATTGTGAGTCTTCGTTTGAAGATTCCTTCTCGTAAGCATCCGCATATCCAATTCGACAGCGTCCCACTCCCCCGCTTCTGCGAAACTCCCATTGAAAATTGTAGGACGTCTCAAGTTTAGGCATGGGTTTTAGGAGGACTCCCCACCCTGTACTAGGAATGTACTGCAATATTATCCTTGTTATCCCCTAAAGTCACTCTAACGGGGTGGGGAGTCCACCTAAACCCTAAACCCCAAACAGTAGCTTCCATTTTCTTTTCCATTATCCCTACAACCCCACTCTATACCCTATATACCCCAAATGTAGTAGCTTCAAGCTGGCCACAGTCTTGTGTATCCTGCTTTCTTGGCTTAGAGCTTCTGATGTGAACTATAGTCTAAACTCCTTAAAAGGGGGGTTATATAGGGGGTTATATAGGGACATGGGGACTGTATAGGGATTACAGGGATTGTGCAAGGTTCAGGGTCTAAACTCCTTAAAGGGGGGTCATATCGGGGATTATAAAGGGGACTATTATAGGGGTTATCAAGGGGGATGCTAGGAGTTTAGGCTATGGCTGATATGAACCAATCTACAAAAGGTCATGCTTGCATGTTGTGTCGGTATGACAGTGTTCCGGCCACCTGTCTGCTAGTAGGAGGATCAACCCTTAGTGAACTGTTGCAGCAAAGAGTAGGTCAGGGGGGGGAGGGAACCATATGAAGAACCTTAGGACTGCTCTTCTTGCACGATCTCACTCCCGTTCGCATGTAGAAAGCTGTAGTGTGGTTGAGCTGTCGCAGAGGGCTCTTCTTAAGAGGGAGCAGGAGACTAGCTTTCAGGGATAACTATTTGGGTTGAAACTTCTACTCGAGGTAACCAATCATTACGACATGGGGTCCCTAAACCCTAAACCCTAAACCGCAAACCATCCGCAAGTCCTGAATTGAAACCACGGTTTTGTAGCCTTCAGCTCTCACCTTCCAAGCTCCGGAACCTAAACTGCCCGGAATTCAACACGGTGGTAGCTTAAACCGAGCGTAGTCCTGGGTAAACCTGCGCATGTGGAGAAATGTCTACATGTTTGGCGGGTGGTTGAGATCATCATCTTATAATATTGGGGCGTTCAGATTTCCACGACAGCTTCTATAGGGTGATTTACACCCCTGACCTCAAAGTAGCGAGTGGCATCAGGGACCCTCAGGGGTCTGAACTCTGGTCATCCTCTGTGTTTGTAAACAGGCGGAGAAGGAGAAGTACGAAGCCGAAGTCAAGGCTGCAGAGGAGGATTGCAAAGGAATGCATCCATTGATCTATAGGGATTATAGAGGTATACAGGGTGAGATAGGTGCTAGAGCTTAAGCTAGAAATCTTGCGGAATCAGACATTCTATCCGCTGACCATCCTTCCATCTTTCCAGTAGCTTTGACCCCGAAGCCCTATTCCAATTCTATAGCGCCCTAGATTACAAGCGAGTTTCGAAAGGTGGTCCTCCAAACGGGGGCAAACTTCAGGACTTCCTTTTCCAGAAGCGGAGTTGAAGAACTTAAACATGCATATTTCCAAAATTGGGGGTCCCCCCATAAGCGCCCACGTATCATAATCCTCATTATGAGACTCCCGAACAGGGACCTGTAATTCTTGGAAATCTCCATCTGAATGCATGCGGATGGCACAGTTTGCTGAACATTTGACTGGCATTGGCATTTTCAAATTCCCGTTTGAGTCACAATCATTATCTTTGCAAGGAAGCTTGTGAGTCGCTGTCGGGTTTCGGGCGGTTACAAGCCTGTCGGGTGGTGTGGTTCAGCGAGGAGATTGCTTTCTTTAGGGTTCAGGCCCTCAGCCCTGAACTGTTTGACGATATGTGCTTGTGGAGGGCAGGAGCTGCCATCTAGGCCAGCAAGACCTTCCCGAAAAGTAAGCTCCCAACAATGGGTCTCATCTTCTACGAGTCAAAGTAACTTGTGTTCCGGGTTTTGGGTTGTTTAGAGTCTAGTGGATTGGCGTGATGATGCATGATGGTTTTGTGAATTGCAGGTTGTGCGGCTTCTTGTGGATTCAGCCTAAAGATAGCAGAGGCCGGAAACTACAGTTTCTCCTTATTTAGATGGCCGACACGCCCCCCTTGGTCAGGAACTCGCTCATCCAATCCACCTCTGAACGCGTCAGCTTCACCAACTGTTTGAAAGCAGTGCTAGCGAAAAGACATCCCCACCAAGGCATCAACCATGAGCCTGGGTCATTGTTGAGTGCTGTTACATTCTTGAGGAGACAGGTGACACACGCGCAGAACATTCAAGTTTTTGTCGTCTTGGCACACTATATTCCACCATGTGGGAGGAGGAGCGGGAAGCACCGCCAGCGCCAGATCCCCAGGACCTGGTGGTCCTAGCGCTGGGAGCTTGGCAATGACTGTGGATTGAAGATTTTTTGGGAAAGAGGGTTCAGTCATTGGCAACAATGGTTTTTACTAGAGAGCGAAGATACAATGAACAACCTCAGGAGTTCTCGAGCAACTGATTCAGATCCCTGATGCGCTCGACCAGCGCAAGTAGAGGTGGACGGACTCAGGTAACACTCAACCCTATAAACCCTGAACTCTGAATGCTGGACCCAGCCCTTGAGCAGAGAGGTCCGGATCTTCGTCCTGGGTGGACAAAGCGATTTTCACCGTGGGGGAGGCTTTGGAGGCCCTACCTGGTCGACCTGTGCTCAAGTATGGAGCGATTTACTAACCACTCCATGACTATGCCACTGCCCCGGTACCTAGATGATCTACGAATGATCTGTCGTTAGCTTTACCAAGGCCTTGGAAGCTATACCCCACATCCATACTTGCATGTGCACGCAAACGGGCATGTGAGCGCCCTGAATGCTTGGGGCTCAATGTAGCTATGTGTGGTGGTGACGACAGCAGCAGAGGTAGCAGCATGAGAAGTGCGATACATCCGAACCCGTCTTTCTTTGCACATGCGTGGCTCTATGGTCAAATGTCAGCAGTTTGGTTTCTAGCTTCATGGCGCTTTCCGTTTGAGGATAGAAAGACTTAATCCCCAGCGCTGTTCAACGAATTGCCACTTGCAAATGAGAAGGCCAAGCATCGGCAGCAAAAATCCAAAAGCCAGGCCAAAACATCCAGCCAACTTTTGATGAGACGAACGTTGTATGCCGTGAGTTTTTTGCCTAGAGCATCCACCAGCTAGCTGTGGAACCGTGGGTACGCAAGAGGTGGCTCACACATTGGTAAGGCAGCACCCATGCCTTCCCCCCCCAACTCCAGACAACTCCAAGCAAGTCCTAAAATTCACAAACTGCAAACAGTTACATCATGCGCATTTATCCTCAAGGCGCGGCGGCCCATCTTCAACTTCCTGCTGGCACCGGGCCCGGCGACGCAGGAGGCGCCTGCAGCGGACGAGGCCGCTGCGGCGGAGGAGGCCGGGTGCTTGGTTTGGGCAGAGAATGAATCAAATGGAAGAGCAAATTCTAAATGAAGTGGAAAACCAGATGCTGGAATGATATGGGGATGGTCTTAGCAAGTATCAGGCTTTTGGGGTTTAATTAGGGTTTGGGGTAGAATCATGTGCTAGTCTCATTTTCTCATGACTATCTTGTATGCAGTTGTTAGCAGTCTTCAGCTATTACCTGTGACGATGCCAAGTCTTTCATCACTTGCTTGTAACATGGCAACCTTTGCTGCAGCTGCTACAGTACCATTACTTGTAGCAGCAGGTGTGGTAGTAGTGGCAGCAGGAGGAGGAGGAGACTTCAAGTCTCATGGCGCTAATTCTTCTCTCGTGCAGCATTGCCACCGTTATGGCATTATGGGGGTTCGTTTTGGACTGTTCTTCTGGGTTTGGCTTTGTCGTATGTAAGTGTGTTCTTTCTCCACTTGCCAAGTTTTAATGCTTTTCCCTTGGGGTCCTATATATATATATATACCCTATTATAATCCCTATATAGCCCCATTATCGTAGTTTCCATTTTCTTTTGCATTACCCGCATATAACCACAATAGCTGAAAGAGCTGAAGCGAAGCCCAAATTTGTGAAGGCATCTGCAGATGCCACTGCGGCGGTGGCGCAAAGTGACGACGCTTCACTCAGCAAACTGGGTTGCTGTTAAGGAACTTAAATTGAGTTACCATAATGGGTATATATATATATAGTAAATCATGGGGTTTCCCCAATATAGTAACTTAACTTAAGCTCCTTAAATCCCTATAGTCCCCCAGCTTCCATTTCATTTTCCATTTTCTTCTCCATTTGATTCTCCATTATAGGGGCATTAGAGGGGGATAATGTAGTAACCCAATTTACCCAAAGAACCCTAAAGCTCTCAAACCCAGGAGCAGGTCCTTAAAGGAGCAGGTGCCGGTGGCGAGCAGGCGCTCGCAAGGCTTCGTGCGGAAGCGGCACAGGGCCTGCCGGAGGGCTTTGGGTGCTGGCTTAAAGTTGAGGAGTTAGGAGTTTAGGGCTGAGGGGGGCTTAGGGGATTTTAGGATGTAGGGATATAGGGGAGAATCAAGTGGAAAAGTATACGGAACATGAAATGGAAACTGGGGTTCTAACAAGGCATGTATATTTGGACTACAAGTTCAGATTTAGGGTTTAGGGGCTTAGGGGTTTGGTGTCTACCCTAGACCCTAAACCCTACACCCTAAACGAGAGTAAAGTTTAGGGCCCAGGCTCAGGGCTCTCAGGTCCCTCTGTGAGTTCGGACGAAGGAGGGCTTGGCCTTAGGCCTGGGGTTTGAAACCCTGGGCACCTCAGCTGAAACGCCTACACCCAGAACCCTTAAACCTAAGCCCTAAAAACCTTAAACCTTTCAATCCTTAAACCCTTAACACCCTAATTAACTCCTAAACCCTGAAACCATTCAGACTTCTTAGCAAGTACCCCATCACACCTTGGCCTGCCTCCATGTAAGGGCCGCACTTGAAAAGGAACTGAAGTGGATTGGGGATGCAGGGAGCTAGGGTTAGGGTTAAGGGTTTAGGGTGGGGGTTCTATAGGAATAGATAGGGCTATATAGAGAAACGGATTAGGATCTATGGATCTAGGTGTATTTCAAAGGTGTCTCAAGGGGTTCTGTCGGGGTATCTTGGTATATAGATATATATATATATAGAGGGATATGAAAGACTTAAGGCGTAGGACTACCCTGTACCCTAGAACCCTAAACCCTCAACCCCTAAAATCCTAACTCCTAACCTCTAAACCCCTAAGCCCCCAACCCCTAAACCCTAAACCCCAAACCCTAGCGGTCCGGAGAGTAGGGCTTAGGGTCTTGGGATGGGGTTTAGCACTGGTGGACTCGGGTTGCTAACAGCATTCATGATCGCCTTTGCGAAGGGTAGACGGTGTATACATTTGGGGATTTGGGGTTAAGCCTGAACCCTAAACACTTTTAGGACCCTAAACCCTAAACCCTAAACCCTAAATTCTAAATCCTAAACCCTAATCCCCAAACCCTAAACCCTAAACCCCAAACCCTAAACCCCAAACCCTAATCCCAAAACCCTAAACCCTAAACCCTAAACCGCTTTAGAGTTT